GGTCAGCCGGGCGACAATCAGCTCAGGTCGCAAGAGTGACCCAGGCCTAGGTCCGCCGCCTCGCCGACGCTATCGTCGACGCCCTCGTCGACGACCTCGCATCCGCATTATCTTATGTATGATGAGGACGGGGCTGCGGCGGACCAAAAGATGGAAGTGGACGAGCGAGGTGTTATCGAGGCGAGTAGCATGGTGAATCCCGAACAAGTGGTAGCTTGTACCACTGCCGGTGGTATTGGTGTGGGAGTCGGTGTAGGGGGACCGGGTACGGCCACTGGAACTGGTACAGGATTGACTGGTTATTGGCAACACGCGACTACCGCCACCGGCTACTGGCCATCGTTGTTCGACTGTTGGACGACGCCACCGATCGCATCCGGTTCACAGACGCTGTCTTTGCCGCGGGATGACGATTGAGGCCAGTAGAATTTTATCGACTACTCATGCGTTGGCGCTGTCCTGCTTCTCCCAATTTGTCGCGAAATCTCGTTTTGTTTCATTAAATATTGAATGTTTGATTTCAACGAAAATGACTCAGAGATATATCACATTTATATTTCCGCCGAAAAACGCAAAAACGATTTCATTGTAGTTAATTAAAAATATATAATAATGACTTCTTCACATGCCTTTATAAAATTCATAAGTATCGAATGCGAAGTCACTTATTAATTAATACTTGATTGAAATTGAACGATGCGATGCAAATTTCATTACAGCATTAGAAATATTTTATTTGCGAATCTTAAATTTCTCTGACAGCTAATAATCTTCAATTTCGAGATCTTCGTGAAAATTGAGAGTAAAGCAAAAGGGTAAAGAACCAGTGTCTATCATGATAGAAGAATTGACAGAACATACAGTTGAAAATATTTGGTTACGTTGTAAATACAAGTATTATGCGAGTAATCGGCTATGTTGAATGCGATCGGCAAACTACGAGGCTAGTCGGTGAACTCACATATTCCTCAAGACAGATAAAAGTTAATGGAGTACAAATGTTAAACTTCCGCCGCGATGAAAAGTATATTTAATCCCCCTTCCTTATTTTCATTTTAGTATTTTTAATTAAACACGATATATTTATTATTCGAATACGATACTAAATATACATTGCGATGAAGCAACAAAATAGTATAATTACGCTGAAAAAAAAAAACGAGAAGAAGCTTTCTCTAAGAGAATCATATAGCGTAAATTAATGCTAATTACGCTGCATGCTTTAATAATTTTTTTTCATATGTAAAATGTGAGGGACGGGGATTAATTTTTAAGAACAACGGCGCTAACAAAGATCTCTCGCGGATCACGTACTCACTATTTTGTAGATATATGTATAGTAGAACGCCGGCTCTTTATGCCGAGCGTAACTGTATACCAAAAAATTGTTACATTGTAATGACGATAATAACGATTATTCAGCAGAATACTAAAATATTATAGGCTGTAAGTAAGCGGATTGTGCGTTGTACAGTGTATGGAGCAAGGAGCATCCTATCGATTAGGCGTACGTTATAAATCTGAATTAGTATTGTCGAATAATTACTAAAACAATATTCACAGTATCCTCGCGCGGCGCGTGCAATTGGATTTTTCAAGTCCGTCGATTCCTCTTCCTCTTCGTACTCTCATCGTTCCAACGACAGTGTTTAACTTATACGTATATACCCTTGATTGTGTAACTAGAGAGGCGTTAACGTGATCAACGAAAATGTCCTATTTTTATAAGTAGCTTATTATTTGATAGACCACGCGTTGTGAGGCAACAAAACCAAAGTTAAACCCAAAAAATATCACGTATGTATAGTAATTATGCCGCGCGTTGAAGCCACAGAGATAATTGTATAAATTATTACACATAACGGGGGAGTGTGGTGGTGCGTCGGGAGATTTTGACGGGATGAAACGACGACGAGACACGGCGCGAATCGATCGGCTTCGGAAAAGTCGACATGCGAGCGGCCGATCGCTATAAAGCTCGAGGTATAGTCACGTAAGATAGGCGTAAGAAACGACCGCTATTTTGTATGAATCCCAATGTCGTACAAATGTTCGTCGTAATCACATATCCCAGTCCCTGCGGTGAGTGATTCGTAACGTCACGCAGAATGTTCTTCATTCCCGTTTGTCACCTCACTCGCTACGTGTAAACGTTCCTACTGGGCGATATTGAGCGCCGTAAAAGGCCCCGTTTGTAATCTAGTCACAATAAAAACCAATTCTATTCTAAAGCAACGACTCGGAACTATATCCCCTACCCGTGCGAGAGTTCGCCGATAAGATTGCAATTTTTATTTCGTATTAATTTGTTTTACGATCTAGCGGTTTTAAGATCGACCTCTTTTTTATTTAAACTTTACAAAAGCCATTATAGTGAAACAATATCATATTTTGAGACAAGAAATATATACAATGAGAAATATTAATTATAACAAATCTTATCCAAGAAAAACTGTAAGATTTTAAAAATAGACTCCCGTCTTCCAAAGATTAATGAACCTCTAAAAAAGAGGGTACAACTTTTTTTGTGACCGTTCGAAGAACGATCGCTTTATTTCTACATTTTCTTATGTATTTTTCTTCATAGGAACTAAAAATTATTATAATAATGATATTACATTTAAGGAAAAATTAGTACATTGAAGGAAAAAAATCCTTATTCACACTATTACGAAATCGCTGTCTCAGTTATGCTTCAAACATTTAAAAACTATTTTAGAGTTGACTCAACAAATGATTGAAGCATAATTGAGATAACGATTTCGTAACGATGTGAATAAGGTTTTATTTCATACACACACACACTATGTATCTACTAATTGTTCCTTGAATTGTTAATCCAATTCTAAATTAGTTTTGAAATTATTGAAGCATAACTGACAGCAATCTCAACAATGTACATTTTATTCTTTATTTCAAATGTACTATTTTTTCTTTGAGTGTAGCATCACTATTATGATAATTTTCAATTTCCATGAAGAAAAATACATAAGAAAATATAGAAATAAATTATCTTTGAATGGTTGCGAAAGAGTAAAAGTTGTACCATCCTTATTTAAATGAAAATAATTATATTTGCATCGAATATAGAAGCAGAGGTGTGAAAATATAGTGATACCTTCGTATCACTCTTCGTGTTGTCATATTACTAAATAGAAGACATCATTCGAAATGGGGAGATATTGGGCAATGAATGCCGATACATGATCGTGCTATTTATAGGTAGTTAGTTATACCCTTCGGACATTGAGGGAGCATCGATAACCTACGCGAAGTCCACATGCATGCCAAGCGTGTAACGTATTGCATTACGGTGGTCGGGACGTGGCGATAAATTATGCACCCTCGGCTGGCACGCGAAGGGTCGATCGCACGTTGGTTCGCAACCACCCTCATGTGCTAAACTAAACTAAACGTATATTACAATGATCGTGGCGTCGTTAATGGCGCAGCAGTTATAAGATGTTGCACAACCCCGTATGTTTCCCTATTATATGCATACGACAGTCGTGCATTAAGAAAGCCACCGGCTTTATTACAATCCGGTGAATAATAACTTTCGAGAAGTAATGCGTTAATTATATTAATTGCATTGATTACTATTTGTTGATTTATGTTATATTATTACCGCAATACAGAATGTGGCTTATTGCTATCAGTTTTAATTATATTGCAAAATGCAACATTATCATATTTTTTTTTTTCGAGATCTCGGTAAGATTTCATCGCGCTACTTAAAATTCCTCCTAATTATAAGTCCAATGTACAAAGAACATTTTATCTCTTCGCCAACTTATCTTCTTCCGTAATCTTATCATTCGTACGGCACACGACACTTTCCTCAAAAAAATTTCCGAGCGCACTCCTTTAAAACTTCGTTGTATCATTTACAGTCAGAACGATTTAAAAAAGCTTTTTTTCTCTATATGTATACTCTTCCAATATTTGATGATATATTAACAGAAAAACTGAAAATAATTTTGTTGGACCATCAAAACAATTTTATATAAAATATCTAAATAAATATGTAAAATGATTAAACATTAACGACAATGCCACAAAAAGTTTTAACATTCTAACAAGCTTAAGCATCCTATATAATTATTTTGATAGTCCAAACAAAATTATTTTCAGATCTGTATCTAGCTAAATTTTTAGATACTTCAGCAAAATTATTCTTTGTTTCATATATTCAGGAAAAAACAACAGTGACGGCAACTATATGTAGATATAAATTATGTAGGTGACAAAAGTTTTATTCGTAGAATTAATGTAAAATATACATAGTTTAATAAACTATTTTACAATTATTGTAATCATAAAATAGTTTATCCGACTACTATATACATTTTAATTCTACATAAAACTTGTATATTTGTCACCTATACAGTTGCTATCACTATGTCTTTCTCTGTACATTAAATTAAAGTTATCAGATGTAGTATCGGCTTGATATTTCGATGAAATTTTTAACCGCGTGATACTAGATCTCGTGAAAAGAAATAAAAAGAGGAGTCTCTTCTCTCCACTAGGCGTCCTACTTTCTTCTCGCCTCGTTCCGTAACAACGAGTCACCCTCCACCTCTTCACCGGTCTCCAATTCAGAGCAGGTAATTCGGTTCTCGTCCGCCTCCGTACGTCTCCGACGAACATTTGAATACGGACGAGCTTCAGCGAGACGTGGCAGGAAAACGAGAAGCAGGAGGTGGAAAGAAATGGAACGAAGTAGACTAGGGGTGGGCCGCAACCCTGCCATCCACGTTTCTTCGACGAAATGACCTTCGCCAGTAAAAAGACGTGCCGGGACCGTCATCGTCTCCGTCGGCTTACGAACAGTCACCGTAACTCCCGAAACTTCTCTCGGCGGAGTGAAAGCACGTGGACGAAACGGGATGGGGAGGAGGAAGCGGAAGGTTGAGGACCGTCACAGCGGGACGAATCGCGAGGGCGAAAGACGCAAAGACGGGCCCGTTGAGATTCGAGGATTTACCCGCGGAATAAAATCCGATACAGCCTCGTGAATATGTTGTTCTTGCTTACGACACGCTCGCTCTGCCATGGGCGACGCGATCTATTCCCTTGCGACGAAAATGCCGCTGTACTACATATACGTACCCTCGACCCAGGCAAACAAATGTTATACGGTTCGACACGTCACTATAATTTCCTTTCATGTTCTTACGATTATGGAATCATGCTAGATCTGCGACAACCTATCGGCTAAGACCTATTCAGCTAAGACCCGTAATTGGAGGGATAATGTCTAAAGATATGAAGCAAATGCTTTTATAAGAAAAGTAAAAACATTTTTAAGGTAAGAGCAATTAGCGATTTCTTACGATAGATTCCGATACTTCTGTGAGAATTATTTCTATGATTAATGTTGATGCATCTCGGTTATTAGTTGGAACGAGTGTTTTCACGTGGCTCATCACCTTCTCTCGTTTACGCGCTGTAAAGTTTGCGCGAATCACGCGCTCAAAATATCAGGCGTCTGAGTAAGATAAAATGGCAATTAACATTAACTTGAGCAACGTGTCTCGTAAGGGGTCATAAAGATACCGAGCCGCGTATCTGCGCCATCATCACGACGTTATCGCCGTTCTTACGCATTGGCGTAATCAACACATTTGGCAGGTTTCACAAGAATTTCGCACCTTCATATTTTTATCTCACGTCGTCAATTCGCGTAGCCAAGGTCAGTAAGGTTCAGCCAGAATAACTGACAACATCGATCAAAAAAATTAATGACATTCAACGTCAATGATCATCGCGAGATATCTACTTTCAACATTTTAAGAAATTTGCCTCTATTTTTACTTGAGATATATTTACACTTTTCGCCGATCCTCATGCTTAAATGTGATCGATGTAAAATGTTGGATTTTAAATGCAGTAATTTCTGCGCGACGTCATTTTCTCCCGCTTCTCTGTACTGTAGTCCTTTATGCAAACTATTGCACGACACTATATTGCGCATGTACCATATAGAGTGGATCTCAGGTATGGTGTTATTTATTGCCGGTACGTGAGGTATCGCCGGTGGTACCGTCGTCTCGAATCAAGTAAACCGTTCTCGAGTTCAACTTACTTTCAAAGTTGTTTCGACTTCGCTTGTACTGTTCTTGTACTGAAAAACTTATTAGTGCAAAAATAATGTGTTTCATATTCCGGTAAATCATATTTTTCCGACAACTGATACTTGTTATAAAATCGTGATTCAATTTGTAAAACTTAGTTTTTGCACAACACTTTTTTATGTGTCGTGAATATTTAAAATTAATAAATTTTCTTTATTATATTTTTGTTGAGACTCAAAAGTCCTTTTAATTATTACACATAATTTAAATATAATATGTAGTATATACATTAATAATATTTTTTATTATTGTATAAATTTTTCTTATATTTGTTAACTTTTATTTAAAAGTTCTTAAATCTTAATGTTACATTTAAGAAGTAACAGAAGATTTGTTTTAAGTCGATCAGAATTTTAATAAATTATTGTTTCGCTTTGTCGTAAGAACTATAACATCTGCAAGCCGATGTCGATCGGTCCATTTAACGTCGATTGTTTTCGCGCATAGCAATCAGTCAGAGTGCGAAACGTTGTACTTACGTATGAACGCTTACCATAAAATCGAACTGTACTCGCATTTTGTCTCGGACGAAATTCAAACGACCCGACATATCAAGTGATGAAATGAATGCGACACGTCCCATTCGTATAAAATAATAGATTCTTTTTCATTAATAAATTCAAGCAGTATAAATAAATGATAGCAATCGTAACGATTAAAATTTCAACACATTGATAGCGAAAAAAATTATAATTATAAGACATCCAATAAATAATCAAACGTTACAATGAAATTTAAAAAAGGATAAAAAATCTCTTTTTTTATTTGTCTGAAACTCCACGAGTTAAGTGACAAACAACATTTCTAATTTTTTCATAAATAAAAGAATACAATTTGATCTCGCTTTGAAGGTATAGTGCGAGTAGTATCTTACTTATAGGATTTTATGACCAATGTTCACTTTGTGAATAAAAAAAGCACACTCTGATTATAAAAAAATGTTTTTTTTATGCAAACCACAAGTACATCGTCAAAATGCGTTTGTGGTTACGTTAACGGTTCGGATCGCTAGTAAGTGTTGTAGCACGCCTATAAAGTTGGTACGTCGCGGAGACCATGCATAGATGCATA